AGTTCGCGACACCGGAGATCAGGATAGTAGGATAGTCGGAGAGTAGGATAGTAGGATACTGAGCGACTGGCGATAGGAGAGTAGGAGAGTAGGATAGTAGTAGATTGCGCTGACAAGATTAGATACGTATCGACTGAAATCGCCGGAGAGTTAGGATATTACGATATCACGATAGTAGGATAGTAGTAGATTCCGCTGAACAGATTAGATACATATTGATCAGGATATTAGGATAGTAGGATAGTAGTAGAGTACGAGATTAGGATAGTAGGATAGTAAGCGACCACAAATAGAAAATCAATACTCCTATTATGCCTGTTTTCTTTTCCTGCCTACTTTTCTTTTGCTTTTACTTTCTTTTCTTGAGTTCTCTTCTAGATTAAGTCACAATTGAATTTCCTGTGAAATCCAACAGACTCCTTCTGATCGGTAGCCACGTGTCTTACGTGGGTGTTGATGACTCTCAGGCCGTGTATGACAAAATTTTCTACGTCTTGGCCAGATACCTGTATGGCCAAGTGACAGTAGACTAAGGAAACGGACTAGAGAGAGGGGAGAAACGCCAGGGGCACTCCTATTGCTTTGCACTTCCCATAAAAGTCACTATCCCTGGCTCAGTCCCCAGTAGCACCGAACACTCACTAGGATGCCCACACCCAAGGACATGAGCGCCGGTGCAAATTGAGCTCTAGGTAATTAAGGATTTATGTAAATGTTCACAAGGAAACAAAATATTAGTTTAATCATTTAGGAGAGACAAAAATCATGGAGACACAACGTGAGTCAAGAAAACAAGCTAGTTTAGCCCAAAATTCGGAAACAATGCCAACTTTTATAAATCAACACTGGTCGCTTAATATCCTACTCGCCAGCGATTTCAGTCAATATGTATCTGATATGTTCAGCGGAATAGCCTACTATCCTAATTCGCGTACTCTACTACTATCCTACTATCGTAATATCGTAATATCCTACTCTCCGGCGATTTCAATCGATGCATATCTAATCTTGTCAGCGCACTATCCTACTCCTACTACTCCTACTATCCTACTATCCTAATCGCGCTACTCTACTACTATCCTACTATCGTAATATCGTAATATCCTACTCTCCAGCGATTTCAATCGATACGTATCTAATCTTGTCAGCGCACTATCCTACTCTCCCACTATCCTAATCTACTACTATCCTAATCTCCCCGTCAATACGTATCTTTTTCATTGTCGCGCACTATCCTACTCTCCGGAGTCGCGAAGCTATGAACGCAGCCTAATAATCTTTGCCAGCAACTTCGCCAAACTCTTCGACTCAGGTTGTCCAAACTGCTTCACTAGTGAGCTGGCCTAATGCTAGAATCAGATACCTGCTACCCAGAGATTCTGAGATATCAGATTTATCGTACTCACGGCTAAGGTAGGCGTGGCAAACGCCTTATACCACGGCCGGTCACAAATCCGGTGCAGAGTTTAGTGTGGACCAACCTTGCCTTGCCCTAGCTTGTTTTATTGGAGGTAGACTCGTCTGGAACAAAGAACACTGACAATGGGCTGCAGGCTATTCGGCTAGCTCCAAGAGTGAGGGATAGGCCAAACTGCAATCAAATGCGACGGCAGATCGGATGAAGGCGGATCAGTGGCGCACCAAAGAAAAGGAAAAGTGTCAATTCTGTATTATTGATACTTTCTTCATAAAAACTTGTAAATTTCAGTTGACGAGCAGATGCATGAACCACTTCCATGTTACTTCATCAATTCATCACACAATACGTACTGCATAGGTAAGACTGCAGCTGAAGGGCGCTAGGGCACTTTTCTTCTCTACGCAAAAATTTTGCGTATCCGAAAGCTCCCACTCTATGATGAGATTTTCTTGAGCGTAATCAAAATTGCTAAACGGAATCGTTCACGGTGAAACTGTTCATTCTCTCCTCGCACAGTTGTGTTATGCGTGGTCATAGAAAATCACGAGCAAAGTTCCGTGCTAAAAGAGTGAATTCTTGGATAGAAACAGCCCCAGGGAAAGCTCATCTACTTGAAGGTATCTGCCACCGGTTTTTGGGTTGAGCGAGGTGAACGGTCTTTGGAGAAGTGGAAAGGAAAAGAAAGAAAGAAAAAGAAATGGAAGTCGCTAATAGGGTTTTTTGAAGAATTTGGTGGAAGTTCTACAAAAGAAGCGTGAATTAGATGAAATCGGTGAATTTTCCGATTCATGATACCTCGATCGGTCGACTAGTCTCATGGTGAGAATCATATACTATAGAAACAGCCATGATGGTGACGATGATGGTGGCGGTGATCGGAGGAGCGGGAAGAGGGGATTGTATTGGGGAGCCTCCTAGAAGTGATGGCGGTCGTGCTGAGTCGCACCGAGATCACCTAAGAGGGGTGGGGGGAGGGTCGCAAAATTTTTGAAAAAGTGCGAACGCGACGTTTGACCCTTACTGAAGTGCTGTTGTAACAGAGTGCATGGGCCACGTGAAAGTCTCAAATGTGTCTCCAACCTGAAAGCCGTTCAGGTCCACACTTCCAACACGTTTGCACTTGTTGCTCCCCCCATCGCCAGCAGATGTGACAGTTTTACGGCGGGAATTCGAATTTCTAATAGTCTTGCTAGTATTCGGATTATTATTAAATCGTACGTCTGTACTCCATTGTTTTTGCTATACTCATGAAGGAAGAAGCAAAAGGCAACAATTTTTGAGAATGGACACCGAGTTTTTCCATGGACGATTCCTATTATGCTTGAAGAGCAAAGTGGAACCGTGGAGATAAGGTATCGTCAATGAGCTTGTGATATATGTTATCACTAACAAAAGCTCCACATATTAGGTTCTGAGGATGGCGTGTGATTTGAATCAGGGTCAACCGTTACGTTGGACCGACATTGGACCGACGTTGGACCGACGTTGACCGCTCTCCGCGCCGGCATTCGCACTCGCCTTGCGCGAGCCGTCTGTGTCTCCGTGCGTACGTTCACTCTCGGCATTACTCTCACACGCTAGAGAGCCATGCGTTGGACTTTGTCCAACGGACGGTTGACCCTGTTCGAAATCCGAGATTGCAAAGCTGATAATTGTTGTCAAGTGAATAGCGGCATAGGCAGTAACGAAAAGTTCAGGTCTGCAAGTGAAAGGAGCGCAGCTGTTTCCATCTTCCAGCCATAGAGAGGCTCTTGCAGACGTCGAAATTTACAGACAGGTACACAAAGTAAAAACGGTTTTGAATGAGAGCGGTTATGAATTCTTTCTAGGTTCTTCTATCAGGTTGCCGATGCATTGAATTGGACTGCTGGGATGGCTCCGATGGACCAGTGGTTACACATGGACCAGCGGCCGTTATGCGAATGAATGAAATCCCACTTAAGGTGAATTCTAATAAGAAATCCATACTATTTATGGTTAGATACTTATCCGCTGCGCGCTTCGCAGGAAGTATGTATATGCCCCTGCGGTCTGACAGGGAAACACCGGCACCTCTGGCAAGCCCCTTCTCTCCGTCTGGCTCTAGCCGTTAGGCAGAGGAAGGAGAGGAAGCGTTCGTTTTGCAGACGGCAGCACTGATGAGAGCCACATCAGTGCGGAAATCAACGAGCATGAAGGGTTACTATTTTCGCTCACGTCTGTCCTATTCATCAACCTGTCTCTTTTTTCCCCTGACATGTGGGATAAGTACGGTGTCTTTTAATGTATTCAAACTTCTCCTCTTTATTAGAATCAATTTTTACCTCGGAACTTAATCAATGCTGACAACGTGTGACGCTGAACAGCTCAGCCGCTCTCCATTCCTGGGGTTCTGTCCTCAGACTATGAACGTTCCTTCTCTGGATCTAACGGCGAAGGCTGCGCTGTGCCAGAGTCAATAGGCGCAATCGACCTATTTCGAAAATCAAGAATTTTTTACAACTCGTGACAGGAGGGTCCCTAGGCCCTACGGCCTCCTTTGTGCCTCAGCTGTTTCTGTAGTGATTGATTCGAGACCAGTCGATACACTCCAACTCCGCCCACTAGACTCCCAGAAAACAGCAGTCGAACGGGTTGAGGTAGTACAATGTCTCAAAAAACGGCAAGCGCCCTAATTTTGCCCTCTTCATGCTTCTTTTTTAGGCTTTTCCGAGAAAAGGCATACATTGCTCCAAGCCATTACAAGAAAGGGCGGAAGTGGTGTAGTGACAAGTGGCGCGCTCACCACGCGAGCGGTCCGGGATCAAATCCTGGGTCGTGAGTCGCCCGGGCCAACCAAGCCTTCCATCCCTCCGGGGTCGGTTAATTGGTACCAGACTTGTCTGGGAGGATAAAAACACTGACTTGAACATCGGCTGGCCCCCGCAAGTCATTGTATAGGCCACATCGCATTCAAACGCCACTGCGAATGTACAAATGGAAGTAGAATGCGTGCCGCATCCCAAAAGGGATTGATCAACGGCAAATGCTTTATCCTTTTTATCCTTTTATCCCAAGAAAAGAAATCTCCTCTTCCACAACCACTACAAGAAAAGAAATCCCCTCTTCCACAACCACTACAAGAAAAGAAGGCCTCTCCTCCACAACCACTATCTCCCCTATATCAAAATACGTATTACAAGTACGAGCGATTCTGGACCGACCGGAATTACGGACGGGGTGTATGTTCCCTGTGCTCGATAGTGCTACCTTGAAGGCAAGAATCAGGACTACATTGATTCCTCTCAAAGTGTGGAAGTAGGGATGGGAGGTGGACCGCCAGTGGAGAAAAAAGGAAAGAAATGAAATGCACAGGAAATACGAGCATTTTGCTCATGCTGTGGAGAAGTTCAAAAGACAGGCAGGGAGATGAGAGATAATGTGAGCGCGGAGAGTGGTAGAGAAGTCCGAGAAGAGAGAGCATAGCAGATCAACGCAGCGACGCAGACAAGATATCGACGGTGGGCGGACCATGTTATGTTTGGTGGAGTCTGTTAGAAGTTCATGGCGCCTAGGGTCCTGGTGACGGGTTTCGATGTAGAAAGGTGGCGCTAACTTTGCACTTGGGTGCCCAGCACTTCTAGCCATGGTAAGGGCTTCTTAGGTGGGTCTGAGCCCGAATTTTTGCCTTTAATACGTTGACAACAAGGGCGTGTCGTGGTTTTTTGGCCGCGTGAGACCTGGGCGATTTTGCGGCGCGGTCGCCTCAGGTAATTCAAGCGGATCTCGAGTGGTAACAAATAAAACATAAGAATGGTGCAAGAATAGGTTAGCAGTTCTCAATTCATAGAAACTACGGATGGGTACAGTAGCGGAACTACGATCAAAAGACGTGAGATGCAAAAAAAGTAAAATTTGAGAGCCCTATATGTAATGGCCCTCAAAAACAATTTATCCTTGTTGTTTCAATCGAAAAACATGTACTGACATCAATTAGGCTCCATATTTGCTTCTACAATTCTTTAGATCTTCACATTCATAAAAAGAAAAAGTAAACGAAAAATTTATTAACTGAAGATTTCGTATGGTTCAGAAATCCTCCTCTAAATTAAAGCATACGTGACCATTCTAAGGGCCACTATGTTTGTAGCTACGTATGCTAAGGTTTCTTCCATGGAATGAATACAAGAAACTTTGAAATGAATCACGCGTGCGCGGAAAAAATGAATGTAATGGGTGCAGGACACATACGTCCCGCGCTGTCCGTCATGGCCTGCAAAGTGCGGGACGTATGTGTCCTGCGCTGTCGTCAACGTGTTAACCAAAATTTCTCACATGCTTCTTCCATTTTCCTACACTGAGGTCTAGGAAACCTCTGAATATTTGTGATGGAGGTCTGATAGATTTGATAAGAAAAGTGTTGTAGTAGATCTTGCCATTAGAATTCAACCCTTCCAGATTGTCTGTATGGCTATCGACGAGTGTGCGTTCAAAGTATCGCCTTATCCTGTCCTTTTATCTATCGAAAACCACTTGTGCCAGCAGCAACAGAAGCTAATGGTACAAATATTCCGAGAGACTTTCGGCTCCAAATTGCTAGTCGATGCTCTGGAAACCCATCCGGTTCGCTCACTTCGTTCTAGCAAGTATAATACATTAGAGTTTCATTTTGTAAGTATTATTTCAGACAACGTTACAGGAATAATTTTTCAGCTCGTCGAGGACCAGTCTCTACCATCACCGTATGCTCTTCGATATAAAATAATCATCAAAGCGAAAAAATCGAAGCCAAAGATTCAGCCGAAAAGTGAGTCTTCAGAAAATATGTGATATTGATCCCGAATCATGTCGCTATTAATGTTTATGAGTTCAAGTCGGTCCCATAACATGGAACGTGGTGCGTTCGGAATGGCCTGTTAGGGATTAAAGGTGATTTTGTTGTAGAATGCAAAGTTAAGGCTAAGTTTCCAGCTAGAATCACCTGGTTCCCTAGGGAGCCCTTCTGCATGTTAAAAAAATGGGAGCGGCTACAGAAAAGTAGCGACTGCCATTACTACTCACTACTTACTTTTACATTTGTGACAAACACTATTTAGTCGAATTCATGTCACAAGAACAACGGGAAGAAGTATCCAGAAATGGTATAGATAGGAAAATGGAAATTCTCATGAGTACTCAATACCGAAAATCGTAAAAGAAGGTCTCCTTTAATGGCTACTTCTACACCGCCTGATATGTTGTGATGAAATCCAAAAATGCAGTCCAGATGACCTCAGCTGATGATCGCATTTTTAGGTGTGCTGGTGTGGAAGAAGCCCTCTTTAGCAGTACAGTTAGGCAGTTTTCATAGTTTTATTATAGCAAGAAAATTTTAAATTATAGCTCTGCCTATGAAACTTTTTGAGAGCTTCAAGTAATACGACCCCGAGAAAGTCAACATCCCCCTCTCCCGTTAGTTCTTTCCTTGCCCTTTTCGCAATTTTAAGTTCCCTAGTCTCACCTGTGAGATTTACCCGATTGTCTTATATAGCTTACGACAGAAAGAAAACAGATTTCATCGATAATTGACAACAAGCAAAAGAGTATCTTCGAGGATAAGAAAAAATGGGTGGGGGTTCCGGCTCCGGCAGGAGCTATCCGTATCCGAAGCGATGACTGTTGAGTGGCGCTCCTTTTATACCGGTTTTCGGGCCCTCTTAATGTCTGGAGTATCTTCGCCCGCGCGCCTCCCGCGCGATACACTCCTCCTTGATCTACGATCAATCAACGTTATCAACGTTATCGGTGAACCAATGACTTCTGATCCGTGCAATTTAGTTGGATCAGTGCGTGATGCTTCCGCATAATTGGTAATCAATTACATGAGCGCACTGCCAATACATTATGGTAGATTTAGCAATTAAAAAGGTGGAATTACTTTGCACTGATCGTTTCCTCCTCAACTGGTGAACTTCGGGACTTACTCGTCCGATACGACGTCTGCAGACAGCGTAGCCCGGCGCAGATGAAACCACATTAAACACAGCGATCAGAGCAGCCGTTTTTCCTATAATTCATACGTGATGTCTCTTGTATGGACGCTTCCTTTTTCTGTATCAGTAGGGATAGAAAAAATGAACACGGTTCAAGCTAATGCTAGTGGTATCGGCACGCCGATTTTTTGAATACGGGCCCATTGGGTGGAACGAATGGTGAGAGTAAGAGCCCAAGCCACAGCGATCCACTCTATAATCAGTTCTAAATCCCTTACATCTCTTTCCCGGTAGAATAGAAAAATCCTTACTCGATACCACTAAAATCTTCACGAACTCTCACCCCAAAACATTCGAAGGTTCTTCGTTTCTCTCGATTTCGTTACCCTCGCAAGTCACATAGACCAGTCCATAGGGACAGCTCATCAAAA